GAAGGGGAAGCCATGGAAGGATCCACTGCTGGTGTCCAGAGCAGACATGCACGCTCTCCCAAAGGACAAACAGATCTAAGTGTTGATACTCTGCAAAAAGGGAAAGGAATAACATTAAATTCTATTTGATGTGATGGTTTTTCTGAACAGGTGTGCTTATTCAGATGCACTTATAGATTTCTTAAGACACAAATTAAAAAATGCAGAGAGATGTTTTCTCAGAGATGACTATTGACAGTAGGACTTCATAATTTTTAAAAGGAATGCAGTTATCTATACATTGTAGATGTGAAAGTGCTTTGCTGATGAAAGAAAGATGTACTGAGCAATAAACCTGGGGTGCCTTTGCTCTGTGGTGTTCTTAGCTCATTCCTAGGCTCAGGAAGCTGAGGTGGTTCTTCTCCAGTCCTGTGTTCTTCACCAAGTGTCCCAAAGCATTTCCCAAAGTTTTGAACTCCTGTGAGCTGTTGCAGTGCAAATAATTCCTGTCCATTCTCACTGTTTCTGTTACACTGGAAAAGTGGTTTTTTAGTCTGTGTACTTTATAGCAGAACTAATACTTGTTTAAAGAAGAATTCTGTAGGTACCCTCAGGAGATGTGCAGCACTCCTTTTCTTTTGCTGCTGTGGCCATTTCAGGCAGTGTCTGTCGTGCTTCAGCGTGGGGATTGGAAAGTGGCTGCTGCTTGCACTCTGCACCACAACCTTCTTTGCTCCCGTTTGGAAACATAGTTTTCTTTTACATATTCAGTTTATAACACTGTATTCCACCCAAGTGTCTTTGCCTTCAGTTAAAAATATCTGTTTAATAGGCAAGGATGTTTTAGTTACCTGCATCTCATTAATAATGAGCTTTATTTTTTGCATAAACCATATTAAATATCTCAAGATTCTACATAATTTTTTTTTTCTTGTAGTATTGAGCTACCTATAAGTAGTGATGTATTTAATATAAGTCATCACTCTTTTTCTCCAAGCTTTTTAGTTTGGTGGTTTTAGTTTGGTTTGAGTAGCCTAGTTTGTTTTGTCTGGTTTAGTGAAGTTATGTGTGAAATGCTTTGGTTGCATGATTGAAGTTGCAATCTGTCAATTGTCAAAACTTAATGCAAGGTTCATTTTTACATAAAAGGAACAACTATATCCAAACAAGATGGTAAAGATATAATGCTGCTGTGTTAAATGCCAGTATTACCTTTGTAGCCTTATTTGGGTTAACTCATTAAAACATAAATTCAGTGCTAACCACTTTCTGTAATTGACTATTAGTGTATATGACTTTTGCACATTTTAAAAAGGAAAGAAACCACCCAGATCCATCTGCTTTTACTCCATGCTGCTCTGGGTGTGAGATTTTTCAGTTTTTTCATTTTTAATTCTGCTCTCCAGTAACATCTCTCTGATTGCTGGATGGCATTAATAGGCCTGGCATCCTTATGGCACCACTGGGGAGGAATGAAGGCCTTGCTCTGTGGGCTCTGTATCCCCAAATTCATTTATGTCTCTAAATGTGTGAGGCTTTGAAAAGGGTGTTCAAGGGGATGGAAAGTAGAAAACTGATAAGGATGCGTGGAAGAATGGAACACAGAAATAAACTTAGTTCACATTAAGAGAAGGGTGTAATGAATTAGAAGAAAAAGCAGTTGTTGGTGACATTACTGTCCAGAAACAATAAAATGAGATGTGACTTATGCCACGTGTTGGAAACAAATCTTGCTGTTGCTTTTAATTGTGTGACTTAAGAAAAATATGGTTTCTTCCATTTAAACTCCTGTTGATGGACTCTAAAATAAAGAACATTTTGGTGCTTTCTTAAACTAGGAAATCAGGTGTTACTACACTGAATTGCACCGTGCCCTCTGATATTTGTTTGCATGTATCTGCTCACACTGCCAACACAAAAGGAGCTTTAGCTAATAGACATGCTGAATTCTGACATTGTAATTGATAAAAAAGATCTTAAGGAGAGCCTGCTGAGGCTTTGGTTTGTCCCAACAAAAGACCAAGTAGGATACTGATAACCATTAAATGGGTATATTTCTCTGACTCAAATAGAGGTCTTAGGAAAAAAATGCTCTGGTTTCATGTGAGAATTGTGTGCCAAAACCATTTTTTTCTAAAGCTGCTTTGTTTGGAAGCTTCACATTAGATGCACTAATGTCTATGTGCACACATTTTTTATATATCTATTCATAGATGATATACTGGTCATATGCACATATGATGTGATAAGGATATTATGTGGAAAAACATCGTATTTGAAGCAATTATTAGAAGAAAATGATCCTAGCTGGATAAACAATACTTTTCTCAGAGTTTGTAAATGCAGGTAGAAGGCATTTTGTGATAAGAGACAGTGACTTCAGAAGTTGAAGAAACAGAATAAAAATTCTTCTCTTTTTTTTGGTCATATTGTAGTTGTGGTGTCACTTATTGTCTTGTCAGAATCATGAGTGTGGAAGGATCTGTAGGCATGAAGAGGGGTAATTAACCTTTTTATGGCTTTGGTCCACTATTTGCTGGTATGGATTGTGCCTTAAGTCAAGGTTGTTTATGCTCATTTAAGCTAGACACTGGTTGCACTCACCTAAAACTATTGCAATCTGAATTGACCCATATCTCACCTAATGCTGTATTTACCAATGATAGTAATGCAGCAAATTGCTTTGGGAGATTTTTTTCCTGGAATATGAAAATAAAGTATTAACTTACTGCTTTGCAGTGTTTCCCCAAAAAGGGATTTTTGGGATGTAATGTTTTCTTGCAAATGATAGCTTTTTTTTTTTTTTTAAGCCTCCAGTATAGATCCTTGCCACATTCTTGGTCTCAGCTCTTGACATTTATTTTTGCATTGTCTATTAGAGAGTGCAGATGTGTGGTTTTGAAAAAAATAATTTTTTCTCTCTGGTTTAGAGCACTGATTGGTATAAGGGAGTGTAAAACTTCAGACTTGAGAAAGAGTAGTACTGGAAATTTCATCTGGATGTCTGGGGCTTTTTGTGGTGTGTTGTTGGTTTTTGTAGGTTTTTTTGATTGTTTGGTTTTGTTGGGTCTTTTCCTCTGACTATTGAATAATTACATTTAGGAGACTTAATGGACTGGTGTGTTTAATGCCAGCTTGTTCAACTCCTTTGGAGAAGCCACTTTCTCTTTTTCTATATAAACCCCCAACAATAAAACTTTTTTGATATTTAACACTTGGAACCTTCTTTACAACAATTGGCTCTCTCCTGCCAAGTAAGAGAATTTGAGATGGTGTTGGGGGTTTTGAAGTCATTCCTGTGGGAGGAAGTCTGGATCCCTTGTTTCAGGCAATCTGAATGTTTCCTAGGCGAGTGTTCAGTGGGCTCTGGAGTGGGAGTGTTTGCAGACAGTCACACAAACATGGGGCTGGAACGGGGCAGCTTCCAGGCAAATGAGCCTTCAGGGGAAGGTTTGCTTTTTGAAGCTGTTCTCTGTCTTCCCCCCTTCATTCCAGTTACCAAGTTGATCTAATAAGATGCTACACCTGCCTTCCTTTTCTGTCTCGCTTTTCTGTCTCATGGAGATGTGCTGGTTTAGTTTGAACTTGTTTGTCCTGAATGGAGAAGTGCTGTGATGGTTTGGTGTGGGAGCTGCTGGTGTCAGAGCTGCCTGTCACACTGTTAGCAGGACAAGCAGAGTGTAAATCCGAGTTTGCAGAGCTGCTCTGTGCCAGCAAACTGCCTGCTACTTAAAGGACAGCCTGCTCCTAGTGGTTAGAAAGAACATCTTAAAAATAAACTCTGTGCTGCCTTTAAATGGTCTCTTAGATATATCTAACATTTCTAAGCTTTATTTTGCTCCTTAAAAAGGGAAATGTTTTTGAACTACTGGGATCAAAAAAGCAAGATAAAATTGTAAAATTGGCAGTGAAACAACTTTTCAGCTCTTTCAAATTGAGGATACAAGTATTTGGCTATGTAGGAAAGTACATTCATTAATTTACAAGTAGATTATGTAGTCTTTTTAAAAAAGAAATCTGCTAGTTCCTTTTTTTATTACGTGCAGTTTGCTTCTGTGTAAACATTTAACCCTTTGTGCAAAGGAGAGTTTCTAGGTGTTTATGGTTTTTCTTGATGACAGTGCTAGTTTCTTTCGGTTAAAATGTTTTCCAAAGTGAGTTTAGGATGTGGGGGAGAGCATGTTCAAAAGGTAGTTTGAGCTGTCATTGTTTCAGCGGGTGTCAGTGCTTGGTCTGAAGTTAGTATACACTTTAAAGACTGTGTGTATTGTGGTTTTCAGCTCTGAAGGAGTTGCTATGAGCTCACCACTTAAGGATTTCTTAGACTGAAAAATGAGATTTTACACTCATTTCCCTCTGTCAGAAAAATTCTGAGTGTGGAATTTTCTCCCTGTCCCTCACATTTTCTTAACATTCTCAGTGAGTCTTAGTTATATTTACAAAACCTTGTTAAATGTGTGATTCATTTATTTTGCAGTCACAGAATTGAAAATATACCTAAAAGGTAAATTGTGATCTGTGGTCCATTTACAAGCAGTTGTATGAAAGAAGTGTAATTTTATTTTTAGGTCATAGAATAAGATGTTGAGTCAACATTTGAAAACTTTTTTAATAGCGAAATTAATTCATGATTAACGTGGTGTTTACTGTCTTTTATATCGAATCTGAAATACCCTCTATTGAAGGTTCTTGCCATTTCTTGCATTTATTTATACCGTTTTACTGAGAACATTCTTTTCCTGCACATTTTTAATTTCGTGATGGCAATGCAAACCTAATAGTGATGTATTTCAATACAGAATTCCTCCTGATAGAGACGAAAAGTATTTACCTCCGTTGCTGTTGCATGGCACGGAGGAAGAAGCAAATTTCTTTTTACGCAGTAACAGTGCTTTCTGAAGCTGTTACCCTAGAGTTAGGGGAGATACCCTAGAGTTAGGGAGACGCTGACGCGGGGTTTTTGCCACGCTGTGTGGGACATGTAGAGCAGTGCCGTGTGCTAAGCGTGCTGTGCTCCGCAGCCCCCCCGCAGGACGCAGCCATGGCCACGGAGATCGGCTCCCCGCCGCGCTTCTTCCACATGCCGCGCTTCCAGCACCAGGCGCCGCGGCAGCTCTTCTACAAGCGGCCCGACTTCGCCCAGCAGCAGGCCATGCAGCAGCTCACCTTCGACGGCAAGCGCATGAGGAAAGCTGTCAACAGAAAGACCATCGACTACAATCCTTCTGTCATCAAATATTTGGAGGTGAGGAAAGGGATTTTTTGATTTTGTTTAGAATTTTTTTTTTCTTCCTGGTATTTGGGGTTGTGCTTTTTGGTTTCTGCAGAGGAGTAAAAATGCGGGTGTTAGAGTGCTGTGTGCTGCTGCCTGTCCCTGGTCCCTTGGTGAAAAGCAGGCTGAGTTACCATTCAGGCAACGCAGTCAATCCTCCACTCAACACTCATCACAACTGGCTCAGCCTCAGAAAGGCTCTTTTGCAAGGTTTGATTGCAGCAGAGTAACACCATCGCTGAAGGACAAACCCGGGGAAAAAGAGAGAATGAGCCACGTGGAGCAGGCAGCTTAAGAGGGGGAAGGGGTGGAGAGTGGAGCTCAGGGCTGGGCAGAGGGGCCTGGCCTCCAGGGGAAGGCGGGTGGCCACCAGGGATGCCCAGCCAGTGACAGGGGAAGGAGGGGCCAGAGGAAGTTGTGACACCAAGTCCATGAGGGAAGCTATGAGGGAAGCTGTTTTTCCCTTGGGGAGGGATGACTCCATGGGGAGCAGTTAATGTTTCCAGGGCTGAGGGCTTGGGGGTTGAGCAAGGGGGGAGAGTTCATGGGATGCTACAGAGGAGTGTGGAATATGGGAGAGCTACTGCTGCATGTTCAATCAAAATTACAGATGCTTGTAAATTTGCTATATTGTGAATAAAAAGGAGGTTGAGCATTGCCAATAAAACTGCAAGTGTTGTGTACTTTGTGTAAATACCAACTTTTGTGTTTTATCTTAAAATTCCAAGTTGGCGTGCAGTTGAATATCTTGTGTAATGTTCTGGCTTTTCATAAAAAACTGATTATAACTAATGTAGTTGTTCTTATTTTTGTTTTGAAATAGAAATTTCCCAGAATGGAAGATGAACCATTGTCCCTTCCCCTCCATAATCAGGGCACTAGAAATATTTTCTCATCATTTTACTAAATAGCTCTTCAGCTTGCAGTGTGGCCTCTGAAAATCATTTCTATACATTTAAGAAATAGAGAAAAACTTTAAATTTTATTGAAGAAATTTTTTATGTAACAATGCTTATTTAGCTCACCTGATGGGATAGCATTACTTGACAAATACGATTTTCTCATCCAAGATTTACTCTGTGAGTACTGGATGTTACCCTGGAAGAAACAGAATGAAATTTAAATATTGACATTGTTACAGCTGCAAGAGCAAAGTGGCAAAAATACGATGAAATTAATTCCACCTGCTATGGCCAGTGCTTGGTTATAGCTTGTAGGTGTTAACAGTTAGGTTTTCATAATAATTAATCCATTATCTAAGATCTGTTCAAACATCAAACATTTTAAGCACATTTTTATCTTTTAGGAATGCCCCAAAAGAGATTCTGTTCGTAGTGGCCTATGCTAAAAAACAATTCTGAAGTCCAGGACCTTTTTACTGTGGCAGGAATAAGCACCCTCAGAATTCTGTTTATTAAAACATTAACAGCATAGAAAAAAAAAAAACAAAACAACTGATCTCCATCTGCTGGCTTCACTACTGCTGATTTTATTTAATGTAATTCTAGAAAAAAAAAAAACGAACCAAGAAAATGTGTAATTTGCTCTTGGTTTAAGAAGTTGTAGCAAACTGTAGTGCTGTGTGCTGGGAATGCTTTACCTAGAATTGTGACTTGTTTCCAATATGTGCACAGATCCAAATTGTTATGGTCTGTGGCACAAAGCCAAATTAAGTGATTTAATTCTAAATTCATGAGGAGTGTTTTTGAAAAGGTTTTGGTCAACAACTCACAAAATTTAAGTAATTGAAGGCACTGTTATCCCTTGGTTGTCTTAAGTTGTGACCTTTTGAAAGTGTTGTCTTTATGCTGGCTCTGCAGAAAGTCCTTTTATAGCTGGTGCTGCTGTGTGGATTTCATGGGGAGTTCATCAGCACAGCTGCTAATGGTGTCAATTCTTGTCCTGAATATAAAGCTTTGACACTGGGCAGCAGAGTACCACAGAAATGTTCCTTGTTACTTAGGAGTGCTGCTTTCCTGGAGTTGCTTTGATCTGTTGAAATCAACACTTTAAACATTCCTGACTCCTTTTCTTACAGAATTTAAATTCCACTTGTTCCTTTTCCTGAGGCCAAAGTCTTAACACAGTTCATTCTAAAATCCTTGGTGCACTTTAAAATTTCCCAAAGAGGATCTCCATGTGTTTTTTATTTTCTCTTACTTAACAAGGAAGTACACTATTATGAACTGGGAGTTGTTTTCTTCTTTCCAGAACAGAGTGTGGCAGCGCGACCAACGAGATATGCGAGCGATCCAGCCCGATGCAGGGTATTACAATGATGTAAGTAAAGTTTTCCTGTTCACTGATAAAGTTGTGCATGTAAAATTTGTCCAGAAAATTGGAAGGATTCTGCCTGTCAGCTGAGGTTATTTTTGTATCTGCAAAAAGCCTTTAAGCTTTGAAGTCTTTCTTCACTCTATGTTATTTTGCTCGGTTGGAATCCATGTCCATGAAGGGACCTTAAGGTTGGACAGGCTTTTAATTTCTGTGCATATGAACTTTCAAAATGCACCGAGGTTGCAAAGCTGCTCTTGAAGATGCTTTTTCTGGATGTTTGTTTTTTTAAATCATGCAGGCTTTGAAACACTTCTACCAACTTACTTCTGGTAATATCCCTGTAAATTATAACCTTGCTTTTCCAAAAATGGGTGTTTAGAATGTGTTCTTTTCTTGAAGGTTCTGATTTAAATGTCATCAGGAAATCTTTTCTTTCTTCTGTTACAGTTGGTGCCTCCTATAGGAATGCTGAACAACCCTATGAATGCTGTGACAACAAAATTTGTTCGGACGTCTACTAATAAAGTAAAATGCCCAGTGTTTGTTGTCAGGGTGAGTACAGTGTTGGAAGTACTTTGTTGTCTTAATTTAAATTAGATGATTCTTAGCTGAACAAGATGGCATTCAAAGCATCTTTAAATAAAAATAGCATGTGTAGTGTATGGATTACTTCTGTGTCCAGTCTTTCTATGGAGAGCTTTAAGAAAATAAATGGTTTAGTCTGAGTACACAAGAGTTATTACTCTCAGAGTTTGGGGTGCAATTCCTACCTTCCCTACTACATTTCAGAGACCTGATATGTTGTGACTCAAAAGAAAGGAGATTTGGTCTCTGTGCTGTTTTGAGTCTCATAGCAGCTTTTAACAACTTTTCCATGATGTCACAAGTATTGTTTAGTATGGATATTGTGTGCTAGAAATGCACTGGTGCCAGTAAACTGTTTCATCTTTACAACTAGAGTTTTTCATTGTTTTTACAGTGGGCTTTGTCCTGTTGTTACAAAAGTCCTCTGGCACAGTTTTGCATTTTTGCCTTCTTGCATGCTCTAGAAAGTAATTTAGTAGCTTCCATTTCCACAGAGTCCCTGAATAAGCTCATGATTTATTTGGAGAATTGTGAAGAAATATTTGAATGTTAAATTTGCACAGTTTAGTTAAATTTTTCTTTTGCAGTGGACTCCTGAGGGGAGACGCTTGGTCACTGGTGCATCTAGTGGGGAATTCACTTTATGGAATGGACTGACTTTCAATTTTGAAACAATATTGCAGGTAAAGTAATCTGTCAAGATTTCTTTGTGTTTCCTTGAGGTCTTGGAGCATGTTTTAGGAACACATCTTCACCCTGTTCATCATGGGTCTGTGGTCTGAGTGGTGATGGGAGCCTTAGAGGTCTTCTGTCTTCTTGTGATCCCATGTCAGGCCATGGCTGCAGGCAGTTCATTCAATGCTTCTCATTCCATCTCCATCTTCTGTATTAACTGTTCTCAAGAATGTACTATGAGTATTTGTAATAAAAATAAAACCACTTTGAAAACAAAGTACAAATACTCTTACTGTTTAGAAGACCACTGTATACAGAGTAAGGGATTTTGCCCCCCAACATCTTGAATGTAATTAGATCATCATTGTTCTCGTTTCCTCATTGCAGCTGTTAAGTCAGAACGTTAGTAACTTCAGTGTTTGTGTGGATCAGAGAGTATTGGAATGTGTTTGCTAGAAGTTCTGTTTCTGAATTTGCAGGCTCACGACAGCCCTGTAAGGGCTATGACTTGGTCACACAATGATATGTGGATGCTGACAGCAGACCACGGGGGATATGTGAAATACTGGCAGTCCAACATGAACAACGTCAAGATGTTCCAGGCACATAAGGAGGCGATTAGAGAGGCCAGGTTTATACACAATATACCATTTTCTGTAGTACCTATTGCCATGATTAGACTGTTCTCTAAGTGTATTCTGGGTGCAGAAATGCATGGGCTCTGTCAGATTCTGGGAAACTTCCTGCACCACATAAACACAGGATTTCCTTTTGTTTCCACATTCTCACCGTTTTGCTGGCACCTTTCTGAATTAGTATTGTCCCAGTATCCGCCTCTGCAATATGTTAGAGATGTATTTGTCTGCCGCATTTTGCACTGGTATTCTTTTCATTTTTATATGGTGACGATGTGTATCAGTTATTCCTTTTTATACGCACTGTGTAAGACAACAATTTCATTCCAAATAAAGAATTCAGTCTTTAATAATCTTAACTGAATAAAATATAAAGCCTTCAGAAATAAAACACCTGCATAGTTCTCACAAAATAATAAAACACTAAATAAAGTGAAGAACTGCTTGGCTTGGTGAAGCCAAGACTTCCAGTAATACTAAATACCCACGCAGACTGCCACATACAGAAGTCTAATGTTAATACTGAATGGGTTCTTCAAGCTTGAAACTGTAAGAAAGCTATTGAAAAGAAGATTGTAGGATATTCTCTTGGTTCAGTGTTGATGCCTCAGTTGTGCAAATGTCTATATAAAAATCAAATCTAAAGTGATACTTATCAGTAAGATGTAAATGAAGGGTGTTTCTAGAGCAAACCTGCATATAATTTTTAGTAAATGTTTTTAAAGTAAGCCTGAAGAGAAGCTGCAGATCCCAAATGGCGCTAACACAGTGTTTCTTTGGGTTCAGGTGCTGGCCCATGGTGATAAAGGTTCACTGCCACAAACTCACTTTCCGCCAAAGTCACCATTTTTCTTGGTAGGGTGCAGCATTTTCTGCCAGAGTTTGGTTGTGAGAAGTGCTTATTTGGATTCAGTTACTATCTGACTATCATGGCCATGCACTGAATTTCTCTACTGCTTTAGGCCCTTTCTTGATCATAAAGATCTAGGATTTCACAAGGGCTCCCTTGTGGTCTTTCACTGCACCAGAAAGAAAGTTGAGTGCCTGTCAGTTGTTGGAGGTGTTCTGGCCCTATTCACATGATTAAATAACTCCTTGTTTTCCAGTGACTTTCATCAATCAATGTTAACTGCTGAACCTGGAAGCTGCTTACATGTCTATAGGATTCTTTTCATGTTGTTGGTGGGGTGTAATAAGAGGGAGTGTTTCCAAATTGCTCTTATAAGTGTTTGTTTTATATAGGTTTTTTTTCCCCCAACAGTTAAACCAAGTAGTATTTTCCTGTAACCAGCTTTCCCTTATGTTTTGCTTCTCTGCTGCAAAGCACCTGTGGCTGAAGAGGAGTTTTTTCCTAAGAACTGTTCTCCTGTGCTTCCATGCAGTGTCACTTTCTTGTGGTATTACCAAACATGAAAATCTAGGCTGACAGTTACCAAACCATATTGATGTTGCTTCTCATCCTGCAGAGAAGGCACTACTGTGTGCAGTCACAGATAGGAAGGTGCTAAGAATAAATGTCAGATTTTTTTCCTCATTTACAGGGGACTGCAATGCAATAGTAACCCTTTGCTGAATTCATGAGTTGTGGTGAAGTGCCGTTTGGCAGGCACTGTATTCACTAAAGTGCCTATGTTCAAATGCCTCCTTCAGTGTATAACACATTACAGTATAATTTTGCCCTGTCTGAGAAGCATAGATAATCTGTTAAATGCTGACTTCTTTCCCCTGCTGTGTGTCTTCATGTAACAGTTTCTCACCCACGGATAATAAATTTGCTACATGCTCTGACGACGGCACTGTTAGAATCTGGGACTTTCTACGTTGCCATGAGGAGAGAATTCTTCGAGGTATGTGTACCAAAAGTACTGATTGGGGTATTTCAAGAGGGGGAAAACCTTTTTTTTAATTTTTTTTTTCCTTACTAGATGTTCACAATACAGAAGTATCAGCTTGTCTACAGTTTTTTCCTTAATGCTCCAAACAAGTTTTTGTTTGGCTGCTGCTATAGGTACCTTTTATTCAGAGAGGCTGCAGTTCACAAGGGCATTACACTGTTTACTCTCCACTTGAGCTCTAAACATTGGAGGTGGACAGAAGGACATTTTACTGCTCCTAATTAGGTAGAAACAGCTGTTTCTGCATCAGGAATACATTTATCTTTCTCCAAAGCTTAATCTTTGTGGCTGCTGTTACTTCAGAAAGTGCATCTTCATGCAGAGGATTCCATTCTTTTCAGGGGCATACCTTTCATTCTGATTTCCTCAGAGGCAAGGTGGTTATTTCTCATTCCTTAAGAGGAAGAAAGTATTTAAGTAGAGAGAACAGATTTTAATCACAACATTTATGGCACAGGCAAATAATCCTAGCTGTGGTTAAAGTTTCTGTCCAACATCTATGTACACTAAATTCTGGTTCCTGTCCACTGGCCTTCTTGAACCTTTCTCCTTCTCTTGCTACAGTCCTAATCAGCAGTAACAATAACTTGTGACAGCTATTCCTTTTTTGCAGAGATGTCCAAGGTACATAATTTAATAAGGGAATATATTAAAAGACTGCTCTGAGACTGAGGGCTGTAGATTTGCAGATAATTTGCAGAGAAGGGACGGAATAAAAACATGGACTTTCAGTTCTAGGTGTGTGAGCTTGTACAGTTCTTTCCTAAATTAAGGATTTTTTTTATTAAATCATACCTCCATCTTGGACCTGCATTCCATATTTTATGACTTAGAGCTGTCCCTGTTTCATTTGACTCTTAGGGTCTCCTCTTGTTTTACAAGCATGTTACTTTTAAACACTGCTACTTTGCAAAGACATGGAGTCCAGCATTACTGCAGTGATGTTTTAACAGTATGTGTCCATAGACATTATGGTAGGTGTGTTCTTTGCAGAACCTGGCAAATTTCTAGGTTATGTACTTCATACCTGTTACTCTGGAAGGCCTCAAACAGATTTAGGACTGTTCAGCTTAATGCTTTACAAAGAAATCTTTCTGCCTTAAACATGTCCTGTACCCTCCTCCAGGTATGTACTAACCATGTGGAGGAAATAGGGATTGCCTCCATGCAGAGTTGTCAAGGCTATAAAAACCCCTCCACTTCTGTGGTCTTTCAGTGTTCTGTGTAAAGTAGGAGAATAGCATTTAATTTAGGGTGTCGAGAAGAGAACTTGCACTACATTTTCTTCTGTTACCTTGTATATGTTAACATTTGATTGTGAGTAGACCTCAGACAGAATTATCCTATAGTTTCTTAGTTTATACATCTCAGTATTTAATTTTTAGTTTGCACATAATTCTCTAAACAATACATTTGCTTCTATTATATCATTTAACCATAATATATTCCACTGTTCATGTATGTTGGAAGTGGTTTGAAAACTTTACCATCTTTGGATAAAATTGAACAGGAGAGATTATGCCTCATTTCTACTGTCAGATAAGCAAAAGAAAACCCCACCAAACTCCAACCTAAACCCAAAGAACACCAGCAAAAACATACCCCACACCAAAGTAAAATAATACCCAAACCCCTGATTGTTGGGAGGATGTCTCTGCAAATACACAGGTTTGATTTGGCTTTAGTCTCTAGGACTGGTTTTAAATATGGTCAGAAGAGTTACTTGAAAGAACTGGTGGGTAACATCATTTTCTTGGTAGAAAACACAACCTTTCACTCTAATTTGGAGGTTAGTGCTCATGGCTTTAGGATACTCATCTTCAGCTTTTGGCTTCGCCATGTGCATTCTGCTTTTACTCAGTTACAAGTGTGACCTGTAATACTTTGCTGAGCCTTCCAGTTATGGAACTACTCATGCCATTGCCATGCACTTAGAGATCTGTAAAGTAAAATTTTGGTGCCACTATGTCAAAGGGATTTTATGTACATTGTTTAGATCAAATACAATGCTGGGAAATTATTTTTATTTCCTGTTTTCACACATCATACAGCTCTTCTGGATAATATTGATGCTGTGAAGTTGAAGGAGTACTAGTGTCCTTTAGGTCCCGAGTTTCACTTCACATGTTAAGGTGTCCTTCAAGTTGTCACACAGAATTGTAAAAGTCAAACATAACTAGAAATTCACAGTCAGATGTATTAATTAAAAAGATCAGCACTCACAGGGATAATATGTCAATATGTTGTTGTTCTGAATGATTTTTCAACAACAAATTAAGGAACATATTGTAAAAATCAGATTTGAAGATTCTAGTGGTAAGAAGTGCTTTTAAAGCAATTCTGTAGAGAGCATTAAAGTTATGGGATGAGCTTTGCTGATATAAAAAAGACAGAATTCCATTATTGCAGGTGTTTTTGCTTGCCCTGGAGCAAACTAATATTTATTCCTATGTTTATTGAAATGGCCTGAAGCAACAATTCTAGGCTTACCTTCTGAAGAGTAAAACAATAGAAGTGGTGAACTACAGGAGATGAATTCTTAATGTTTTCCTGCAGTTCTTTCAGCAGTCTGGAATAGGCCAGTAGTTTAACCTGTGGGCTGCTTGAGATACACTTATTAACTGTATCAACTTCCTCTTAACTCCTCAAAGTGAAGGTAAACAGGACACCCTCCAGGGTTCCTCACGGGTTGTACCAGAGGTTCTGAGTCTCATTTCTTCAATCCCTAAGTCCCTTTTTGCTGGCCAGTTTTTCACTGCCTAAAGTAGCTTTGGACCACCATAGCTTTCCAGGGCACAGGAGGGGGAGTTTGGGCATTTTGTTAGCAGTACATGTAGATTTATCAGACTCCTTTTTAACACCCTAAAGAAATAAATCAGGTTAAATTCTTGTTTTCTTGGGGAACTGTGAAATCAAGTGAGCAATCTTGGAAGAACTTGTAGGTGGAGGAGATAGCATTGAGTGTCATTGCTTCCCCACAGCTCAGGTATGCCTAGCTTTTCTCTTGAGGTACAGCTGCTGTGGTCCTGATTTTGCACCAGTTGCTTTTACCTGTGTGAATTTCTGTCCTTTCACCATCTTTATGATGGTAATGAGTGCAGTTTAGTGCACTTACTAAAATACATAGGTAGGAACTTTACTGATGTTAAAAAACGTTCTTTTAAAAATAAAACATGGAAGACAGGCTATAGTATAGCATAATTTTATTTTCATTACTATAATCTGTTCCTCTGAATGGCATTTCCAATAAAATAATCTCAAATCTGTTGTCTAAACTGTTGCAGTGAAGCTAATGCTGAGAACATTTCTGTAAGAGCATACACATGGATGGCTTTTAATAATGCTAAAAACATCTAGTAAAAGACTATGCAGTACAACATTCATGTCCCTTTATCTATATGAGAAATTAGTGCTGTTGCTGATTTTCCCTGGTGGCAGTGACGTTCCGGGTAGTGTGTCTGTGCTGATGTATCCCTGGGAATATTTTGGGTAGGTCATTAATAAACACATGATTCCTTGATTATTTCCGGCATGACATTGTGGGTTAGGAGGCTACAAATAGATTTTGGATTTCTCAGTTCCCTTTTCCTTCCTTCTCCTTCCTCTCACAGTCAGCCAGAATCCAGTAGAATGAGAGCTTGGGAAGACTGTAATGTTTTCATTCTGAAATGTAGATGAGTTCTGTATCTCCAGGATTTCAGAGTTACCTGCCTTAAATAGTTCTTTTGAGGAGGATGACTCCACCCAGCTCTCTGAAGGCTGGTATAACCCGTGCTTTTTAAATACTTTGTAGATAGGTTTTTCCATTTTCTGTCTCTAAAATAAGGTGATTCATTAAACAATCTTTCAGCCAGCGTGGTAGACTTGACAACAGATTTGTCTTAGCCTATTCAAACAATTAAAAGCAATCAAGATTTTGTTGCATTCTGCTTGGATTTGAAATGTGCCTTTTGTAACAACGTCTGATTTTTAACACTGTCACCTACAAAATAACCTGGGGCAATCACAGCAATCGTGGTAAACAGACTCTTCATCAGCTCACAAGTTCTGAAGAAGTGTTTCCACCTCTATTCACACTGAAATAACTGAGGGATTTATTCCTCTCTTCCATTTCTCAGTCTTTATTAACAAATAATGTACCATGAAGTCCCTTAAGCTGTTGGAATCTGTTGTATTCTATCTCTGAACTTTCTGCCTGAAAGGGAAGGATCTCTTCAGAGTTTTTTTCCTCAGTCAAATAGCAAATCCTGAAGTTAATTTAGACATGAGTTCCATGGGTAAAAGGAACCTGAGGAGCAAAGCTGCATCTTCAACTTGGTCCCTCACTTTTAAACATCGATTATTATCAAGTTCTTAGCCTTGAAGCAAGTAACTTCTAAAACTGTTCCCTTTTCTTGGAGTATAATTGAACTCTACATTGGATAATTTAAAAGAAAAAACCCTAACACTACTGTTTCCAACTTTTCTACCCTTAAATGAGGTTTTTCTTTTTTTTGCCTTGTCTCAGCAAAGAGAGAAAACTCAGCAATTTCCAGAAACCCATGTATATCAATACCATGGCTCTTTTAAGGAGAACTATTTTTTAAACCTTCAGGGGGTATTTGTGGGGATTGCTTCTTTAGACTGTTGGGATTTCAGGTATATTTGAAACATCTTCTAGTCTAGGTGCATCCCTGCCCAAATATTAGAAAGTTTTTATTCAGAACAGAAGCTCAGGCTGAAATGAGGCCTGGCTGATAGTGGCACCAACCATACCAATCTAGAGAAGGCAAATCCTTGAATTTTTGAACTTAAAAAGATGGCCTGTTTTGGAATGCTGGTATTGGACCAGCTCAGTCTCCTCTTTGTTGGTGGATTTGTGGGTGGGCCAGCTGGTGTTGCAGATCTCTGATCTTTGTCAATCTTTGTTGCCAAAGCTGAGCTGGGGCTGGGGGAGAGGTGTTGCAGCTAAA